GGGTAGCTGCTTATATATTTTGTATTTCCTCGTGAATTTTATATTTGGAAAGATCGAGTTAACATCATGGAAATTTTGCAGCGCGCTCCTTTTGACGATGTGAAACGTGTCGTCAACGTAATGGCAACAAAACATCAGGGGCTGTGGGGTGAAGGCAATCTTTGCCAGCTCTTTTAGGACTGATTCTGCTATAAAACCGGAGAGCCCATCGGAATGCTCTTCGCCTGTTCATAGGTTGCTGCAGCAAAGGGAAAGTTTGTCTTCTGGAAAATCCGAACAGCCTAATGAGGTCTTCAATGCTGAGTGAACTCTGGGTTTTATGATACAGCATCTCATGTGTCCTGCGCTAGACGGCTCTTGGTAAACTCGGTGGAACGGACTTAAATAATGATGTCACGTCAAGGAAACCACCAATTCGTCCGATTAAATCTATTGTCCATAGACCTTTGCCAGAAATTCGGAGGCTTAACGGACTGAGACATCGATGCTTATGAAATCCGATTGTTTACCAGACAAACTGATGGCCATAAAAGTATAAACATATTTATCTGCTTTTTCTGATACTCATAGTCCACCTTTCACGTGCATGAATACTCTCAAGCACCTGGTATCGAGGCGTGGTAAATTCGGGTTTCAGTGGAAAAGAGTACGCCTGTACGTATACCACAGAAAAGGATATTAAGATCGTCGGAGGCCGATGACCTGTTCTGCAAAACAATGTACCGGGGTCTTACTTATCGGTTGCAATACTAGTCCAGGCTCCATTCACTTAGACCCGGGGTTGGCAACCTACGGCTCGCATGCCAGGTGTGGCCCTTTTGATGATTGCATCTGGCTCTCTCGGATAAATATGGAAGTATAAACTTCAGATTTCATGATTTTGGTTCCTCCAATGACGTGCCGTTGCCGAGACGCGTATTAGAATCAATTTACCATCGACCAATCTCTAGTGTTTCGGCTCCCCTGGGCTTGACCTAGCAGATGTTTTGCTTTTCCCTTTCAAGCTAGCTGACAGCAGTTGCTTTCCTTTTCTCCTGCCTCCCAACGGCCGCGATAAGCTCGCTCACTAACAGACAATTTACTAAAGTCCGACAGCCCAAAGACTTGGCCTCAGCTTAGTTAAACACGCTGGCAGACGAGGCTGTCTTATGCGCATAGGCCAGCCTACCTTGTTACCTATAGTCCCTTGTGTTTATGTCGCCCAGACGGACGCATTTAGCACACGCAAGCAAACAGTGCATTCGCGGAAACTTGCCTCGTGTACTAATAAATCGTTCCTAACATCTGACTGCTTTCTTTCATTAGACGGAATAATCTAATTCTTATGGTTATAAAAGATCGCACATCCTTGACCGCTAAAACACGCCCTCTGTCTCAGTTGTCTAAAGTTAACCCCTGCAATAAAGAAGATGTTGGAAGAAAAAATGAATGAGGAGTATAGTACATTTCAGGACGAATGGGCTGAAAAATTCGCCTTTGTGGAGAGAGCAGTGTGTGCGGTGTTTGAGGATCTTCCGAACAAAAATAACATAATAAAACGGACACAAGATATGCCTCTGTCGGCTAAAACTGTTCATGAGCGTACCATCATGATGGCAACGCACGTGGAACAAACGCAAGTGAAAGACATAGAAGCAGCCTCTTTCTTTTCTCTGGCTTTGGATGCGTCAACAGACGTAAGCCATTTAGCGTAATTCAGTGTGATTGCAAGATATGCTGCTGGTGATACACTACGCGAAGAAAGTCTTGCTGTTTTGCCAATAAAAGGGTCCACAAGAGGTAAGGTCGCCGGCCGCGACCGCAGTCGCAACAAAGGCGGAAGCTTCTTAGCGGACAAATCTAGTACCCACCATCAGCTCCCCATGCTTGGTGCCGACCCCACGGAGGTATTGGCGATTTCCCTCGACATTGGCTCGGTGCCGCTAACCGTCTTGAACATCTACATCCCTCTAATCTCCAGTTGTCCCCCTGGTTTCACCACCTCCATTGCTCCCCACTTACCTTCTGGAGACAGTTTGGTGTTAGGTAACTTCAAT